GTTACAGGCTGACTTCAGGTCTGGTTTAGATCATTGTTACTTACAGTATAAATTTTACATTTTTCTGGTATAAATTTGTGTTTTACATGATTGTTGAATGAAATTAACATAATTATTAATTTATTGTAAAAACATGACAGATAATCTGTGAAACAGATCCAGTTCAGCTTGTTGTTTATTTATTAGTTTCTATGGAGGCTGTAAGATGTTGCCCTGTTAGGTCTGTTTCTGCTCCTCCATACTGTCACAGACACCACCAGTGGACAGGATGGGCGTGGCTCAGTCCAGTGTTGTTATTCAAGTCTATGCATTCAATACAGTCCCCCCCTTTTTTTATTTATTAATTTAAGAAAAACACACAACGAAAAACAATACAAGAAATGCAGACAAAAAAATTACATACAGTAGCTCAGATCAAATAAAGAAACATTAAGGAAATAAAATAGTAGCCTTAATCAACCAATCAGTAGGACAGTAGACCTTGGAGTAAATGAGAGGCCACCTCAGGCCCAACATATTTCAAGTAGGGATCTCAGGTAGAATTGAAAATGTCCAGTTAAGAGTTAAGTAAACAAGTAATATATTCATTAGGAATGCATTCCTGTATTAAATCATGCCATGATTTCAATGAGGGTCCTGAATCTTTAATCCAGAAAAGCAAAATATTCTTCCTGGCAGTAAAAGTCAGCAGGTTATAAAACCGTTTGTGTTCAGGCTTAACCAACGGGTCAGACAGGCCCAGGAGTAGGAATTTTGGGTTTAGCTGCTGTTGCCCTGTCTGGTCTCTGTTCCTCCTCCTCCATGCTGTCACAGACATTACCAGTGGACGGTATAGGCTCAGTCTAGTGTTCTTATTCAAGTCTATGCATTTAATACAGTCAATACAAAACATTATGTTAGTAACGACAATCCAAAAATTATTATACAACACCAAAACAATACCCCAATGTTTCCTTAAGGGCTCTGTAAGTTGCAGCTACACAGCAATAAAGCTAAAAAAAAATAATTTAAGATCTTTTGAGTCTCTGGGGTCTCACTGAGACCTCCAGTGAGGCTGATTTAAATAATGAAAGGGTTAACATTACAGAAACACAAAAAACAGCTTCTGTTATTTAAAAGATGTTGGTGCATATAGCTGTAAAACTGTTTTGTGTTGCTTTAGTTAAGAGGAATACATTTATAATAAAAAAGTCGAAACTGTTTTGTTGTCAGAGTGAATTTGGCCAAAGGCTTCAAAGCTCTGCGGGAGTTCATCACACTCGATCCAGTGGCTCTGGCTTCGTTCTGTGAGTCCACATCATTAACCCAGAGGCTTGGAAAAGTTCTGATTTCTGCTTTTAGCAAACACTTTGTTTTTTTTCCCTCCTCAGTATATTTCTCAGCATTGGTCCTGTCTCTGAGCCAGCAGATGACCAGCGATCGCATCAACCTCTACCCTTCCTTTAACACAACATTATGGTGCGGTAACTGCAAAAATGTGAGCTTCTGATACCAAATTTAAAAAAAAGACGTGTTTGAAGGCTCAAAAAGTTTCTGCCGCAGGCCTGCAGGGTCGGAGCACCACGTTCTTCACCCGTGGGTCACCATCAACCTGGTGGTGGCTCTGCTTGTGGGTTTGGCTTGGGTTTTGATTGCCACCAGACCTGAGACAGACTACACTGAAGGTGAGAAACAGCAGTCCAAACTGTAAGTCCTGTCAAACAAAACAACACGTTACTTTCTTTTTCTTCTTCAGGCTACCTGAGGTCCATGGAGATTGAACCTCCAAAGCCAGATGACAAATCAGAAATCACTGCCTGATTTTTAATTTTTTAATTTTTTTAGTGGAGAGATCCTGTATGTTGTCTTTTCTTGCTCAACTTTGACGTCTCATTTTTAAATTATAATGTATTTCTATAATAAAATATGCTCATCTATTTTTAAATAAAGCATTTTAACAATCTTCTATTCATCTTACAACTACTGTCTGAAAAACCAATGGAAAAGAGATGAAGATACAAACGTACTTAAAGCAGATGAAGCAGAGGAGTGGATGCTGTTTAGAAGGGCTGAAGATGTTTTCTTTCTATTTAATATGAAGATCTAAGACCTGAAATTGTTTCCAGTATAAAAGCTTAAAAGAAAATGAAGAAAAAAAATCCACAACTTCCTACTTTAAAAATGGAAAATACAAAAAAAAAAAAAAAAAAAAAAAAAAAAAACCCTTCCAGAAAGGTAATATTGTCATACTGCAAGCAAAAATTAATTACCAAAAAATGTAACATTTTAATTGAAGAAAAGTAAGTTAAGCACTTGAAGTGTTAGTTAAAAACAACTGGCAGCTAATAAAACGGACTATTAAAAAAAGCATGTTGCTGAAATGTAAACATGATCAACTAAATTGTATAATCTTCTGTAAAGACTTAATATATCTTGAGTTTATATTGGTTGAAAAGCATGTGATCCAGTTACATTGAAAAAGTGGAATAAGTATGTTTTTCAAAGTTAAAGCCAACAATCTTGTCAATGGGTGCACACTTTAATATATTTTTGGAGAGGCTCTAGGCCACGGTTACTCCCTGCCACCCAGAATCTTGTGTGTTTTTTTATTTTTTCTCTCTTTTTTTGTAGACATCAAATAACCAATTACCTTATTCTAAACTTGCTGAAGACTGAACAACAAAGAAAGAATTACTCAAACCTTATGCGGGCCTACCTGAAGGGGGCGCTCATCCGGTTTGTTTTGTTTTTGGCTTCTTTCGCACAACGTCCTTCTGAGCTCGATTACTTTTGTCTGTGTGCTAACCAGGCTGTGCGGTCTAACGCAGAGAAGGCAATGTTGACGTGGAAATTATCATTCATGCAAAAAATATTCTGATAAACCTGTGAAAGAGTCAGCAACGCAGTCATGTTGGATTTCGCCATTTTTGCTGTGACGTTTGTCATCATTTTAGTCGGCGCTGTTCTTTATTTATACCCGGTAAGTAACTTAATTAAAACTTCGTCAGCAGCGTTAGCTATCAAGGCTATACTCTCGCCAGTCTTTGAGAAGGAAAAGCTTGATTTAAGAGATCATTTGTTTTACACAAATTTAGAATGTATCACATGTCATTTTTTATATAAATATAGAATTTTATGATGTTGTGCACTTTTCGGCATTCATTTATTCTAATATTTAGCTAGGGTTTTAATTAAGCACAACCTAAAGTGAGCTATTGTATGTAAATAAAAAATGACATAGGCAGCCTTATAAATTTTACTTCGTCTTTTTGATTAACATAATACAGTCATTTACTGTAATATTATTGCTTGTTAGTGAGAAAGTACTAGTTATTCTGAGATGTTTTTTCAAGGGCATTGCCCTGAAATATACAATGAATCGTTTTAATTGTTCATCAATCAGTTTCCAATTATGTTTTCAGTCATCCAGAAGGGCTTCTGGGATCCCAGGTCTCAACCCCACAGATGAGAAGTAAGTTGTCATGGGACTTTTGTGTTAGCAGCTTGTTTACATTTGGTATACGGAGTACCTTTTATACTATTAGGTTGAGCAAGGTGAGACTTGTGCACGTGCAAATTCAGCTGAGCAACTTTGCCTTCTGGTAAGCTTGCGTTTGTACAAAGTATGGCAGGCTGTTTACCATATAATCAACTCCCACTCTTATCTCTGTTAACCGTTTGAATCTAATAACAGTTTAATAACATTACTGCTAGTAAGAATTTAACTTAAAGTTATTTACTAATGCACATTGTTACAAGTATAAATTAAGATGTAAAATTTTGTCATTGTACCAGTAAAAAGTACATTTGCATTATTGATAAACCCATAAAAAGTTTAAGTGGTTGACTTAACATTATTCTGATCATGGTGCATGAACAGAATAATAGATTTCTGCAATAGATATTCAGACTCTCCATTACGTATTGATGTTAATTAGTAATGATAAAAGTTTTTTTATTTAAAATTGATTTAACATGGGAGGTCTCATTGAGATTACAAACTTCTTTTTTAAGGGAGTCCTACCCAAGAGGCAGCAAAAGTTACACAACAGTTACAATTAGCTGCACAATTAAAATACAAAATAAGTATTAAAAAGTCACAATTTAAGAAAGCCATCTGTAGTGGTCTCAGTCGTAACTTAAAAGTGTTAAATGAAATAAGTTCTGTTAATTTCCAGTCTTTTTGCAACATGTTCCGTGTGGATGGAGCTGAGTAAACAAAAACCCTTTTTCCAAACTGTGAATAAATAGAACAGAGAGGAAGAAAGGTTCATTTGAATTCAAAGAGTAAGAATCAACGTTTCTCTGTGTTAATGTTAAGTAATAATGTCTACTGTTAACTTGTTCGTATAACAATATTTACCATGAAGATTTCCTTTGTTTGGTACTGTGATTGTTTCTGTTTTATAATTAAAATGACATTTGAATAATAATACAAGACATTTTTCTCCTAACTTCACCACAAGCTGTGAGTTACGGAAGCTGAGAGCTGTTTTCCGCTTATCATTTTTTCCCATGGTTTTCTGGAGAGAACAGGTTAATTATGTCGGTATCACAAAATAACGACCGTTTTCTTTTTTTTTTTTAACTTTGTTTTTATTATTTTTTGTAAACACATAATATCAAAGAAACATACARGAGGGCTGGAGTGAACGATAACACATCATCTTATTTATCATTGTGATTTACAGACATATTTCTGTTCATGATCCCATGAAAGAAGAAGTAACAGGAAAAAAAACCAAACAGAATAATTAAATTCTCAGGAAATTAAGTTAGGTGCAAGTTATAAAACAGAGTAATTAGAAGCTTTTGAGTTGTCATCAATTAATGGTTACATCTTTGGGTATATAACAGACCCATTTTCCCCAGAGTCTCTCTCCTTTCTTTTTCTGGAGACGTTTTGAAAAAGTCAGCATCTCCATGTTATGGATCATGTTTATAATATTTATAAAGAGCTTCATGGTTGGAGGGTTTTGTTGAAGCCAACATTTAGTAATTGCCTTCTTGCTTGCATCCATACAGATCTTCAATAAGTATATGTCCCATGTGTTGAGACCCTCAGGAAGCCTTCCAAGATATAGAACATCAAAGGAAAGGTCCAAGGTTATGTCCACGATTTCAAAGATTATTTGTTTCACATCCTTCCAAAAAGTTTTCATCTTTGGACATGCCCAAAACACATGAAAGTAATCCGCAGGTCTCACCCCACACTCCCTCCAGCAAAAAGTCTGTGAGTCACCTAATCTAGATTTCTGTTTTGGGGTAATAAAAAATCAGAAATCTCTCCATATCAAAGAGTTTGTAGTGGAAAGAATTTTCTTCCACATTGGCTGCCATTTTTCCTGTGAAATTATAATGCTTGCTTCTGTCTCCCACCTCTGTCTGTTGTACTCTGTTGAGCTCTTATTCATAGCTGTGAAATTTCTATAAAGTTTACCAAGGATGCGCTTTGAATTTTTGGCAGCACATGCATCCATAAATACTTGAATTATCCCTGGATTTGTATCAAAGTCTGTAGTTACAGTATGATTTCCCTCCTAAAAAAACTTTGAATCTGTAAATAACGATAGAAATCTTCTCTATTCATCCCAAAAGTATAGCACATTTCTTTAAAAGTTAATAACTCCCCCTTTTTTATTATCTTACAGAATGAGGTGATTCCCTGTCTTTCCCATATCTTATATTTATGGTCCATCAATGCTGGAAGGATGCGTGGGTGGTGTGAACGACCGTTTTCTTGAGATAACAAGATAATTCTTTTCCATTATCACAAGAAAATAATTGTTTTCTTTAGAAAACAACATGATTATCTTTTCTTGAATGATCAGTTTCTTAGTGTTCTTAAAAAGATCGTGGAGAACCTGGCATTGATCAACACATCAGACTTTACTTCTGTTGAGGTCCAACACAGGCTGGAATCGCACTGTGTTTATTGTACAGATTAAACCAGCCCTCGTCATTTAAGGAGACGGCTTGCCCGACTGTAGCTCAGCAGGCATCTACACTTAAGTGATCCTGCTGATATAATAAACTTCATCAGTGACTGAGGGGGCCAGGCCAACTTCGTGGTTACTGGATGATGCACAAGAGGAAAACCATAACTCGTTATCTCGAGAACACCATTGGAACATAACTCACTATCTTTCCACATACATACATAAATATGTTGCTATCTCACGAAAACCATGGAAAAAATTTATACGCATAAAACATTTGCTCTCGGCTTCCGTAGTAAGTTGTATAGGGGGCCACAAAAATCAAACTGTAAATAGTTGAAAACTCTTGTTAAATGAAACAGGTATTTTCACAGAGGATAAAGGCCCCCTCGTACTCAGGCATACTTTACTCCGTGGAGGTCCGCGCGGACTTGAGGTGGACTCGAAGCGGTTGTCCACCAGACAGGTCCGCACAGAGATCATTATTTACATCTGTGTCCTCGGTGTCGCACAATAAACTGCCAGGCGAGTTCACATCGAATGCAACACCAAGCAAATAAAATTGAGAATCTGCATCGTTTTGTGGATGAAATGGAGTCAAATTTTGAAGAGTGTCTCATGGAGGAGATTAGAAAAGATAGAAACGCCTCACTCATTGCCAGAGGTTTATAGTAACTAAGTACATTTACTTTGTTACAGTGCTTAAAGGCACAGTGTGTAGGATTTGTTGTTTTTAGCGACATCTAGTGGTTGAGTGGTTGAATAATCCTTCCTGGTCCTCCCCCCACCCCCGCTTCCAAACGCTACGGTGTCTCTCAGGTGTCAAAAACCTTTGATAATTCCAACCGCGATGTCTACCAGCAGCTTCAGGGCTAGTGATGTTTCAAGTGGTAAGATTATGAGCTTTAATAAGTAAAATTATACCAGCTATGTTTACATGCACAAAATTTTTTAATCGGATTGAAATGTATTCAGATTAAATAATCCAAATGTACTGTTTACATGGATACAATCCGATCATGAAAAGTGTTTACATGCACCAGAGTTTTATTCAGAATAAAAATCCGGACATGCACAGTGTTGTAAACGTTCAGCTCTACTTCCGTGTTACAAACGTAAACAAAGCTCCTCTGTGCGCTCAGGACGGACCCGTGTCAGCTTTTAATAACAGTAGAGACGTCTTTACTCATCTCCTCGGTTGAGCTGCAGCCTGCAGATGAAGCAATACGTGCTTTTTATTTTTATTTTTTTTGCGAAGCAACGTCTGCTGTTTGCCTCCTTTTTCATCTGTTAAGAGAGCATGGAGGAAAAGTTCTGCACGGTGTTGCGCAGCTGGAGCGCTGCTGTCCCACCTCCTCTAACCGGGTGAATGAAAGTCAGCAGACATGCGCCCAGGTCAGTTTTCTACAATCAGAATAAGATGATCAGATTAAGTGTTTACATGAACCTCATTCCGATTATCATTCGGCATAACCCACCCTTTTCATTCGGATTAAAAACTTATTCGGATCGAGCTCAATCGGATCAGAATAATCGGAACGGGCTGTTTACATGACGCATTTTTATTCCGAACGGCTGTTTAATCTGATTACTTTTGTCCATGTAAACGTAGCTAATGACAGACAACAAATATTACATTTATAGTATCACAACTAAAACCGTGTTTGATGCCGCCACCGCAGTTTGTCCTTCATGAGCCTTCATAGACAAGATGGCAGCTGCCTGTGGTGGCGACCCGCGAGCATGGAGATATAAACAGCTTTTTATAAGGTAAAAATAATAAAACAAGGTCTTTGTCTGCAATGATTAGACA